AGAAGCGTGAGCACTGGGTTGTAGGATACCACGGAAGGATTCAGAAAAGCAGTTGCCTTTGAGCTGGACCTTGAAATATGAGCAAAAGTTCACCAGGTGGAGAAGGGAGAAAGGCATTGCATGTGGAAGAAACTGAATAAAAGCCCACAAGTGTGAGTATTGGGAAACGAGAAATACCCTTGCTTTGGGATTTGGGGCAGCCACTTCTCACATTCCTTGTGTTATCACCTCAATAGAAAATAACAACCATGCTGGTGTGGCTCCCTTCTTGTTCCTGGCACTTCTGCATCCTTCTTCCTTGCAGCTAGTCTGCACTTGGTTTCATTCCTCAAGGCTCGGCCACATCCAGCTCTTCAGTGACAACTCCCCAACAGCTGGAGCCCTCGCTGCTCTCCACTTTTCCCAATTCCTGTAGCATTTAATTCCTTACACAATTTTGCAGTAATTGTATGTTGTCCCATTATTTAATTATCTCATTTGTGTAAGTCTAGTCTCCCCAGCTCTCTCCGTCAGGGCAGGGATGGCATTTTCCTATTCTGCATCCCACATAAGGCTTGACACAAACTGTCAGCCCACAGAAGATGCTCAAACAATGCCCGCTGACTTGACTGGACATCTTGTGCTGATAATGATTACAGCCACCAGACCCCAGTCACGAGATTTATTGATGTGAGTGGAAATATATTCCTTTCACATACATTGAGTGCCCTCCGTGTTGAAAGCAAGTTGAAAGTTTTTGAAGAAGATAAGCTGTCTGTTCTGATATGTCAAATGGCATTCTGATGTCTCTTGTCCCTGGAAGCCTGGGAACACTAACAAACCATTTGAGTGAGGGGTGCTTGGCGAGGGCAGCTGGCGTTCCCACTGACGCACCACGTCACCTGGTCAGTGCTGCCCAGAGGAGTACCATCGGGGATGACAGCTTTGTTTCCTTGACTTTAGCTTTGCCTGAACTTCCAGGCCCAAACCATTAGCCATTCTCTTCTGCTCCCAAGGTTGTTCTGTGTTGCTGGCTTGTGGCCCAAAGTCAGTCTGACTCAATCCCTCTATAAGGGTATGCTGACTAACTTATACTGGGAACTTATTGCCCTGATGTCCAGTTAATCACCTTCCCTTGGTACCAGTGTGAACTCAACAAAGTGAGTATTCCAGACATTTGTTGTTGCCTTCGTTTTTGTAGACATTCTTAATTTGCACTAATCAAGTGTAGAAGATCTTATTCTGCGCTGGAGAATGTCCTGAGTATATAATAATTTTTTTTAATGGATATGGTTCCTGCCTTCACAGAGAAAATAGTCTATCAGGGCAAACAAACTCAGCAGACAATTAAAATCCAGAATGGTCCTTTAGTTATGTATTGCAGCATAGCAAACACTCTAAAATTTAGTGGCTTAAAACAATCATTTTATTATCTCTCGTAGTTCTGTGAATTGACTGGGCTCAGCTGAGCAATTCTGCTGGTCTCACTTGGGGTCTGTCATGAGGTGGCAGTCAGATGGCAGCTGGGGCTGGGGCCCTGTGAAGGCTCAACTAGGCCTCTTTCTTTCTCCATGTAATCCCAGGGTCTCTCCAGCTGGGGAGCTGGATTTCTTAAATAGTGGCTCAGAGCTTCTAAAAGTATGAAAGTGGAAACTGCCAGGCTTCCTCAGGCTTCGGCCTGGCCCCTCACAGTGACTTCTCCTACACTCTTGGTTAAAGCCATTCACAGAGTCAGTCCAGAATCAGGGTGAGAGGGGAGCACACACGGACCCAAATACTGGGAAGTGTGGTTTTATGTGGGGGAAGTATGGGATGCTACGGGAACACCTAGGGGAGGCCCATAACCTAGGCAGGGAAGTCAGGAAGACTTTCTGGAGGCAGTGACATCTAAGCTGATGAACCCGAATGATGAGGTCAAGGAACTAGCCAGATGAAGAAGGGAAGGGAAAACACAATTCAGGCCAGGGAAACAGCTGGTGCAAAGACTCAGGGAGGCAAAGAGAGCACAATTTAAGATCAGTGTGGCTGTAGCTAGGGCGGGTGATTGTGGAGGGCGTGGAGAGGTAAATGGGGCAAGAGCATAAAATCTTGCATAGCGACCACACCCCATGTCTGGACTCTGTCCTGAGGGCATGAAACATCAAAGAAGGAAGGAGGGGCATCATCAGGCCAGGGGGATCCTAAAAAGGCTCTTGGCTACTGTGTGGGGGACAGTTTGGAGAGGGTCAGGCCCTCATTTTCATCCTGTCTCTTCTAGCCAGTGACCTCACCTTGTCACTGAGAAGGCTGAGTCATCACCTCAGCACCAATATCAGTTCTTTTTGCTTTTTGTTAGTAGGAATTTGTATTATTAAAAATGCAAACTCCTTTTTACAAGTTTTTGTCTTTGTTTTAAAAAAGCAAAAAAAAAATTTTTTTTAAGCATGTCATAGAAAGCCTTTTATGCCCTGTAGGATGTGGACCTGAGGTTGGCCAGGTGGTCAAACTGTTTTTCCCTAAGTGTGAACCATGTTAAGGAAGAGCCTGCCTGCAAAGAGCAGGGACCATGCTAGGCTCAGTGGATTCGACCTCCCACTTAAGAAAGGATCAGTGAAAGGAGATTCTACTCTAGTAAAAAGTCAAACAGTACTAAAAGGCTTATTACAGAACCCAGGAGATGCTGGCCACACACAGCTCTCTCCCTTCTAGTCCTACTCCTTAGAGGCAATCATTTTCAACTCTTGAAAGTTTCAGGAAGCAGCACAGAAGAGTACAAGTTCTGGAAGGGAGACTGTGGCATCCAACCAGGTCTCCCACTTACCAGCTGGGTGACCTTGGTCAAGGGAATTCTAGTATCTTTTACCTCAGTTTCCTCATCTGAAAGATGGGCTTGAGCATTGTACCCTTCCCATGACAAAGCATAAATTGCCTGGCACATGGTCAGCAAAGAGTGATGTGAAGAGGGATGGAACTTGTGAGCAGCTGGGAGCCCCGCTGTGGATGTTTAGTCGCACACTGTACAAATAAATGCAAGGATCCATGTGAGTTAGAGGAAATGACAAGAACACAGACTCATTTGAAGAGGTCTGTCTCTTTCCTTTGTTCTAAGGCCAAACTCTGTGTGTTTGCTCTTAGTCCCATTCACTTCCTATCTCTTCTAGACCCTTGTCTCTATAGTTATCCTGACCCTCATGACGAGCATACATCTCTCTACTAGTTTTTTTTTCTCCGTGAAATATACACAGGTCTTTCCTATCTTGGGGGAAAAATTCTTTATTTGATCCTCCCGCCCTTTTCAGCAACCATTCTGTTTCGTTCTCTCTGCTGCCAGGTTTCTAAGTAACACATTCTGCCTCCCCTTCCTTCACAACTCCCTCACTTTTCAGCTGTCTCCCAGTTTCCATTGCTGTTCTTCTGACACAAAGACCACCTCATTAACCACCAGTGGGCCGTGGCTCAGTCAGTCTCCTTGATCCAGAGCTCTTGACTCAGTGGGCCATCCACTTCTTAACTTTCACATAACTGCCTCATCATTCCCCTTCCTTATTTCTGTCAATTGTATCATTTCCCCAAGCCGTTCAGGAATAAACCTTGAACTCCGGGTTGGCTCAACTCTGCCTTTCTCTACTCACCAGCATATTACTTTTGACTCTTATTGCAAAGATTAGAAACTCATGGTAGCCAGCTTTTGAGAAAAGTTTTATCAGGATACAGACAAGTCAGGGTGAGATAGGAGGGAAGGGGGGACACAGCCATTAAAAGAATGACACAGCAGTGAGCACCAAGATGGTGGTACAGCCAACTCCCAGTAAAACTTGAGCCTCAATATACACTCATTGAAGTACATTAGCATGCTAAATGGTACTCCCACAGGTGCCAGGCAGTTTTAAGGTCAAAGGGTGGGTGATGGCCCAATGTCTGGGAATCCCACCCCCTTCCCCAAAGAAGTTGAAGCTACCAAGCCCATAAGAACCAGGAACACCGCGCCTTTTGACCACTGCTCTCCCTTCTGAGTGACATGGGCCGTACTCTGTCTATGGAGTGTGTATCTACTTTTACTTGAAACTGAGCAAGCTTTCTGAAATAGCCTGCTCCCTGTCTATGGGGTATTTATCTCTCTGAATAAATCTACCTTTACTCAACTGTGGCTCACTCTTGAATTCTTTCCTGTAAGAAGGCAAGGACCCACGCTTGGTGGGACATGTCCCAGGGACTCAACCGAGACCTGGGTCACGGCCATCCTCTTGCCCCATATTCTTTTTCCTGTATCGGGAGGGCAGCTAATAGACCCGAAAGGCAGGAGGTAGCTGAAACCCAGGAAAGACGCAGACTGTAGACTCAGGAGCCAATGAAGTGAGTCTTCACTCTCTAGCTTTCTTCCTGGATTTCTCGTGATCTGCACCCCAAAGGTGTCAGACACTCCCACAGCCAGCTAGTCACCAGGTCCTGTAAAAATGGCCATCTTTTGCGTCAGGCCCCTGAATCTGTCTCCTCTCCAGTTTCCCTTATATTGCATCTCCCGAGTTTGTTTACCTCCTGATCACTCTGTCTCTGCCAATGCTTCTTCCTCCTGACGCTGAGTACAGCTTTCCTGCGTCCCAGTGCTCTGTCTGTCGCTCTTCTCTTGACCTCTCTTCTGGGTTGCTGACCCCTAAATGGGAATAGAGTGGTTAAGAGCTTGGATTCTGGGATCCCAACAGCCCAGGCTCCAATCCCCCACCACCTTCTAGTTGAGTGAACTTGGGAAAGCTCCTTGAATTTTTTTGAGCCTCAATTCCTCATCTGCAAAATGGGGATAATCCTGTTCCCTTCCTGACAGGGCTGATGTGAAGATTCACTGAGCAACTACACACAAAGTGCTGAGTTAGCACAGCTCCCAGCACACAGAAAGGACTCGATAAACGGCAGCAATTATTAGCCTTACCCTTGTTGTCTTTCCTGAGTTCCAGTCTCACATCACCTGCTACTCTCTTCCATTAGATGTCCTGCTGTGAGCTTAGATCCACCTGTCAGAATGTTCCAGATACTGCTGGAAGACGCAGCTTTCTGAGAGCTGGAGGGTCAGGGGACCTGAAAAAGAGGAGTGGTCTCATCAAATCCTTTCAGGAACCCCTGCCTAACCTCAGCCAGGCCTCATCAGGGAAGACGGAAGAATGGTTCCCCTGTCAGCCTCCAAATGCTTTGCTGGCTGACTCTTAGAATCCGGGAGAGCGAGCAGGGCAGCCCTTAAGAGAGCTAATGAAGGATGTGAATCCAACCTTTAAAAAAAAAAAAGACCCTGGGGGAGGTGAGAGGAGATGTAGCAGGATCAGTGGAGCTTGGAGATGCTTGTGAAAGGTGAGAGCAGCACCCTCGGGGTGCTGAGCCGGCTTAGGCTGGGGCCTCCCTCCAGTGCCAGGGTTTGACAGCACAAAGCCAGAGGTGCTCCTGTTTTTAGCTGCGCTATTGCAGGTCCCCTTTGCCACCCTGTGAACATTCTTCACTAAGCTCGTGTGTGGAGCACAGTGCACGGCTTTTGCCTGCCCCTTGGCCCTGCATTCCCACCTCCCTCTCTGCAGCCGGGTGGTGGCCTCCCTACTGGCAGGAACGTGGTGTAGGGCAGTGGCCCCTTCTCACCCAGAGCAGAATGGGGGTCGTGGGAGGGCGGGGTGGGGGTGGGGTAACCTCACAGTCATTTGTTCCGAGGCAGAGGGGCCCAAGTAGTTAAGAGCAGTGGCTCTGAAGCAGAATGTGCCCCTGTTTGAATGTCACTTGTGCCACGGCTATCTCTGAGACCCTAGGCAGGTTGTTTAACCTCTTTATGCCCATCTGTGCAATAAGGATGATAATAGGTCTACCAAATAGTTGTGAGTTTTAGTAAGATAATGCAGGAAAAGCATGAAGCTTAATCCACCTATACCACCTGGAACCAAGGGCTCTGCCCTTGTAGGAACGGCCATCCCCATTCCCCACACATACCCTGTCTGCTGTCTTCACCCTGATCTGTGTCCTTGGTCCCCAACATGGGACCTGGCACATAGATTAGATTAATAAAGATGTTTATTGTTGGAAGGAACTGGTAAAACAATATAGAAAATTCAAGATCCCCTCTAGTCTCAGAGTCCCACCATTTCACCACAAATAGAGGGCCTAGGCCAGTCATTGTCCTGGGGACTGGGGATATCACAGTGAATGCAATAGGATGGGCTCCTGGCCTCATGGAGTGAACTGTCCAAGAAGTGGTGGACATTAAACATATAACAAATCTGATAATACAGCTGGGAGCATTGCTAGTAAGAAGCCAAGGTTGCTATGAGAGCATAGAGCAGAGACTACATTTGGGTGAGGGGAGAATCAGGGATAGTCTACTGGATGATGTGACAGGTAGACTGAGTCCTGGAGAAAGGGCAGCCTGGGTTAAAGTGGAAGGTGGAAAATATACTTCCAGGTGAGGAAACAGCACGTGTAAAGGTCCTGAGGTGGAAGGGAGCTAAGCTGCTTGGTGGAAGACAAGGTGAATGAGGCTGAAGCCCACTGATAGAGGAGGTCAGTGGCTTCTCCAAGGCCACAGAACTCAGAGCATGGGTTATGCAGAGCCTTATAGACTATGATGAGAATTTGAGCCTTTATCCTGATAATAGCTAACATTTATCCAATTTTATGTAGAGTTGTACTGGGCTGAGTACTTTGTTTTCTCATTTACTTCCCACAATCCCCCAGAAGGCGGGTGCTATTAATCCCATTTTACAGATGAGGAAACCCCGGCTCAGAGGGGTTAACTTGCTCGAGGTCACCCGGTTGGCTGTGGCAGAGCTGGGATTTGAACTCAGACATCACGATCCGAATGCCTGCCCTCAGTCCCTGCGTGGCCCAGCTGAAGAGTTAAATGCAGTCTTCGATCCGTGCTGCGTGTTCCTCGAGTCTCAGGTTCCAGTTTCGCCGCACGTCCCCAGTCCTCCTCCACGGAATTGGGAGAACCCACGCAGAGGTTCGCTCTGGCGAGACGAGCTCCCTGGCGGCTGGCGGGACTG